TGTTGGTGTTGGCATGGCAATAGAGAATGGAATTTAACGAGTACATGATGTCACCATTCATTTTAGGGCTTTTTCATCTAGGCTGAAATGATTAAAATGAGGAGCTAAAACTTTCATATTATAAGTTGAGAGGCTGATATCCTCATAGTCAATAAAGTGGAAGGCTGGCCAAGGATTTTCGCCACCAAAAATATTAGGATGCCTACCCTAATCCAAGGAAATTTATATTTTGGTTGCGCAGATGTCACATGACCAATGTAATTGTCTTCTAAGCACTTGTCTAGTGGAGCCTTCCCCCACAAGAGTCTGCTAATGTTATTTATAAACCTTAGTATTAAAGAATTTCTTAACTTGTGTGATCAAAATATAAGTTAAGAACATTAAAAAATAAATATTAACTAAATGCCGTGATTGAGCCAGCACACCTTGTGCATGGAAATCAGCATTACTTTTTTTATTTTTTTTCCATAAACCATATGCTATAGTCACCCATAGATTTCTGCAATCCAAACAACTCATCACTGGTATTTTCCATATTATTGACAAGGAAGGTTAATAAGAACGTTTAACATGTATTGATGAGAGAACCATAGGGAATAATGGAGCTGGTAAGTTTACCTTTGTACCGTAAAGGATTCACTCCTACATTTGTCATTAACAGCAGTTGAGGAGTATTTTGTGAATTCCTTGTGTGTTTGCAAAACCAGATCGTGATCATCCCATTCATCACGGTATGTCTCTGGTTGGACACGCTTGTTCTTAGAACAAGCATGGTACATTTGCTCTCTCCATTTCTCATAGCCTGAGCATCCGCATTGCGCAGCAAGCCAATTGCAGTACTCAAACTGCAAAATTCATCCAAATAATTAATCAGAATGCATTAACAGAACTAAGAGCTGCTCATAATTGAGTACTAATTATTACAAAAAGTATCATTTCACAACCTTTTAAGTGAAGTCATTTTGAGATAAAAGGAATGGAATGCATTGGCTAAATTAACAACAGCCTAGAGGACTAATTCTACCTGAGAATCAGACATAAAATGAGTGTATCGCTTAGGTATGCCAGAAGCTCCAGTTGTCGAGTAAAAAGCCTTGACATCTTCCATCATCTCTTCTTGTGATGGAAGCATAATTCGACCAGATAAAACACCAGCAACCCACTTGCTTTGAAGCTCAAAGACAGGGAATGGAACAATCTGGTACCAAAATAACATAACTTTTTATGTAGTTTGGACAAAGGAACAGAGTAAATAATGGAAGTTATATGCTTATGCTTTGATTAGCAGAGTAGAGATTAACCTTCCATGGTATCCCAATAAATGAAAGCCAGGGGGCTAATGTGGGGGGGAAGGTATGCTTGTACAGCGGATCCACACGATTGTCATCCACACTCACGGTGCCATTTGTTTCAAGGAAGGGAAAATGGTACTTGTACCTTAAAAAGAATTGCAGTAAATTAACAATGCTTTCAATTATATTTCAGTAGCTTCATTCAGAATTCCATACAATAAAATCCACTTTTCGAATCAATATAGGCAAGTTAAATGAAAAATACCCTGTGCAGTGCATAATAACATCGGCAAGGATGCCTTTCCCATTTCGGAAAATCACTGTACCATCTTCACACACGCATTCTATCTGCAATTGTGGGGTAAATATTAGTTTCTTCAACCAACAATAATACATCTCCAACATTAAGATACATAAATGTAGGCATCCTAATCTTATACCAAGTCTTTTTACCATAGAATGACACCACATGTTATCATATCCAGGCTGCTTCATATGTGTTTCATCAGCAACTGATCTAGATGCAACATGTACGTCCTTGGCAACTCCAGCAATGTCCCTGCTTATATCAACCGCACTTGCTGCACTCCCAATCAAAATTACAACCTGCCAATGGTGAACATCTAGGACTCCATCGTAATAAACTTTAAAATGCAATACAGATTCAAATTAAGAGAAGAAAAAACCTGACACCTACTTGATCACGGAAGGGATCTGGGACACGATAATTGTGGCTGTGCAATTGCTTTCCTGGCCATAAATTGATGCCTGGAAATACCAGAAGCATAAGACCAGGGACACAGATAAGTATATTCCTTCCATAAAATGTGCAAAAGACCTTTCTTTTACCTTGTCAATAATGCAAAGAGAATCTTAACAACCGACTATTTTTGTATCCCAAGTTTATATATCAAGTACATATGGTTTATCAATACGCATCAAGACTGTACTATTTTTTATGAACAGAACTTCAGATAAAAATTAAAAGTCTGCAATTTTAACTGTTCATTTAAATGAAAACAATAGACAACTACATACCCAGCACCAGTACTGGGAAGATGAAAATTTTCCTAAAAACCC